CAGCACAGAGGGTAAGGAGGAGCTGGGTGAAGAAAATGAGCCATGCTTTCAGTGGGTTATCTTTGTCAACAGGAGGATTTCAGCCACCTTCAGTCCTGTTGCAGCTAATGGCATTTCTTCTGTAGGTGAAATCCCATAGATGTCCTGCTTGGGAAGTGATTTGGTGAACAAGGAAAGAGAACCCAGGACCCCTGCTGCCAGTCTTCTTTCCAAGCTGTTACACAATACTATTCTGGGGTTAACAAACCAAAAACATCTGGGAATAATCAAAGCTATTTAGGCTCTGAGAAAGCATGGCTGGAGAAAGTTTGAAGGAAGCAACTTGAAAGCTCAGCACTGTTAAAAACAATCTGGAAGCCCTGAAAATTAAAACTAGGGTAACATCTACAAAGAGTGAGGAAGTATCAAAAGAAGGATCTAATATCCTCTGAGGAGCAGAAAGGAGCCGGAATGAATTGTAATGCTTGAGCTTCTAAGCTACAGGGCATTAAAAAATTGCTTCAGAACAAACAGATCTGCCTTTCCTGTGGTTTCCACTGGCATGAGAGCAGAAGGAAAGACCAGAGGTCTGGCTTAAAAGCAGCTTGGGGATTGGAAGTGTGATTTAAAGACAGATAATTGCAATCTCCAAAAGCCTGGCAAGGGTGGTGCAGAGCCCATTGCAAGCAGTACCTGCCAGGGCTGGGTCAGGGGGCACTCAGGGCACACAGCAGAGATTTGGGGTCCAATGGCATCCCGGGGGCACCAGCCAGGGTACAGCTGGCTAAAGGAGGAATGTAACCTGCAGGCTTTGCCTTGCTAGTGGCAGAATGTGTGTGCTTGGCTGACTGATGGCATCGCCACCATAGGTCATGGTTCCTGCGGGATGCTCCTGGTGGAAGGTGGGGATGTTCCTCAAGGATGGTGGGGATGTTCCTCATGGAGGGTGGGGGTGTTCCTTATGGAGGGTGGGGATGCTCTTGGGGGATGTTCCTCATGGAGGATGGGGATGTTCCTGGGGGATGTTCCTCATGGAGGATGGAGATGTTCCTGGAGGATGTTCCTCTTGGAGGATGGGGATGTTCCTCATGGAGCATGGGGATGCTCCTGGGGGATGTTCCTCATGGAACGTGGGGATGCTCCTCATGGAAGGTGGGGATGCTCTTGGGGGATGTTCCTCACGGAGGATGGGGATGCTCCTGGGAGATGTTCCTCATGGAAGGTGGGGATGCTCTTGGGGGATGTTCTCAAGGATGGTGGGGATGTTCCTCATGGAGGGTGGGGATGCTCCTGGGGGATGTTCCTCATGGAGGGTGGCAGTGCTGTGTTTGCTGTCTCTCACTGCAGGGCACATGCTCAGGTCTGCTCTGGCAATCCTGGGACCATCCTGGTGGATAACCCAGGGCTGGCAGCAGGCACAGTGTCTGTGGGGTGCCCAGCTCTGTGTGCTTGCTGAGCTACCTGCAGCACTGACCCTGCTCCTTCTGCAGGAGCCTGGAGGCTGCTTCCCTGGAGTGACTCAGTGACTCCCTCCTCATTGATGGAAATCCCCTCTTTTAGCATCACAGGAATCAGTCTGTCCCTGGGAAATCTCACTGCTGCTGATTTATAGAAGCTTTCATCTCTCAGTGCTTTCCATTCTCATATCACTTTATATCTCCTGCCCTGGCAGGGTATGGGGTACAAGCCCCCAATATCCCCAAGAGATGGAAAAGTGTCTTGGGTGTAGAGAGGGTGAACACACTGCAGGAAGGACAATGGCACAGCCAGCCACCACAGGAGCTGTGGAAATTGCTAAAGATTTGGGGAATCCAGATTTACTGCATCTTCTGTGGCAATCTGGCCTCCCCAGCATCCTTGTAAATGAGAAACCACATAAGCCTCACACTCTATTATTGCTTTAGAGCATTAGAATCCCTCATTTAGGATAAACATTCTCATCTCCAGCAGAGCATGAATAACATCAAATGAGATAGTTAAAATGTTTCAGGCCAATTATAGCCCTGGTGTAACTTCGGCAGAGTTACACCAGGGATTAATTTGATCCGGAGAGCTCTGCCTCCTGTTCCAAACTGGGATTCCAGCACGGGTAATTACATCCTGCCTCTCTGCACTTCCTCTGGAGTTTTAATTGGGTTGAATGGACTCAACTTCTGCTCTTTTCTTCAGAAAGCCATGAAATTTCCAAACTGCTACATGAGCTGAGGGAGCTGTGCTGCCTCTCTGCCGTGCAAGTGTGGCCAGGCTTCCCTGGGTGTGGGTGCACAGCAGCCTGTACCCCACTGCACCTCCTGCTGGCAAGCCCACCACTCCAATCTTGTGCTGGGGGTCCAGCCCACCCATCCCAGCCTGGATCCCAGACCAGGATCCCTGTGCACGGAGACAGGCAGCTGGACTGTCTCCCCCTTCCACTTCCCAGCCCTCTTAGTAAATCAGCATTAATGAGGGACATTTGACCCTCTCTTTCCCTGAACAGCCTCATGAAGCATTTTTGTTCCATGAGATAGTTAAGAAACTGGAACCAATTTCTTCTACTTGCTTCTACTGTCGTTTTTTGGTTGACTTTTTGTTTTCTTTTTTTTTCCTTTTCTTTTTTTTTGAAAAAAGGAAAAGTTACAGGCCACACACAGCCTTTAGGATGCCTCAGGAGTGGGAGCAGAGGAGAGACAGCAGGGTCTGATGTGGAGGGGATGGAGCAGACAGGGCAGCTGAGATGAGGTGACCCCAGTCCTGGTCCACTGGTTCGTCAGAGAGACCATGTGTGCCCCTGAGACAAGAGGGTCAGAGCTGGGAAAGTGCACATGCTGGCTGTGATTAGGAATTTAATTGGGAAGGAATTGAATTCTGAGGCATTATCTCACTGAGCTGGAGCAACACAGAGCCATACATCCTCCATAGCCAGCTGTATACTGGGACAACAGCAGAGGGAAGGGTGCTGGGAACAGTCTCCCTCACAGATTTCCAGGACTTTCTGCTGCTGTGTGGTCCACTTCCCTTCTCAGAGAGAAATGATGAAAACAGACAGCCTGATAAACCCCAGGGAGTGGGGCCCAGCAAGGCCCCACAGCTTCACCCCTCCTCCAGACTGTGTGGGACTGCTGGTCCCACACCCCCTCCACCCCGCTGATGGGGTGGTCCCCTCAACGTTCCACTTCCCCTTTCAGTTTTTCCCAAACTGTATTTCAGTGGGGACGGAGATGGAAAGAAGAAGAGCAGAGATGTCTCAATCCTTCCTTCCTCCTCAGACAAACAGCTTCTCCTCAGTGGGATCACAACAGTGGGACCAAGATGGGGGGACCATGTCCATCAGCATTCCTTGGAAAAACACTGGGGACACCATTCCTGACCTCTGAGGGCTGCCACCACCCCTTCTGTGTTTCTCATGAAGTGGAGGGCGGTTTTGGCCAGCAGAGAGGACACAATGAACGAATTAAGCAAATTCCCACTCCCACCCACCAAAGGCCTTCCGGGACCATCCCAAATCTCCGTGCAAGCAGCAAACAGCTCGCCATGGCCAGCAGGCCTTGGCTCTGAGCTCAGCCCCTGGCTGTGGCTGGTGAGTAAATAAAGAGCATTTCTCATGAAATCCACTCCCTCAGAGGTCCCCAGGCAGAGGGTTGGCCTTTCCATGGCTCAGGAAACCTTTATCCCCCAAATCTACAACGCTGCCCTGCAGCTGATTTAGCAAGCTCTGTTTGCACAGCCAGGTTTGCAGGGCAGTGACCCTGTCCCAGCAGCAGTGTGACATTTGCAGGCACCATTTCCATCTGGCCCCATGTTGTCCTTTCTGGGAGTTTTTGAGTGCTAGTCCAGATGGGGAGAGACGTCAGAGTTATTGATGGAAAGGTGCAGACTGCAATCTGGATTTTCACTAAGCCCAGAATGAGTGTGCCTGGGCTGACCCTGCAGATCAGGGCTCCAGTGGGCTCCCCTCAGTGAGGCTCTGCTCCAGTCTTTGGGTGTCTCACAGCCCCAGCATGCACCCATCATTCTTGGGGCTCCTCTCCATCCTGTTTCTGACCTTGCAGATCCTCCTTGTTGCTCATTTCTGCCCACCCAGACTGAACAGCACCTCTGCAGCTAAGCCTTTGACCTTTATTTTCCCTTAAATCAATACATAAAAGCATTCTACAGCAATACCAGCATGCCAGGAGAATCCAGGTGATTCATATCACCAGAAGAGCTGATTCTGCTTTTGAGGCTCAATCATGGTGAGCTTTTGTCTTTTCAGATTCCAATCTTTTCTGTGCTGCCTTCAGCACAGCATTGTATTCATTCCCTGACACCCCTTCCTGGCATTATTGACTCTGTATCTTGCTTTTAATCTGCTATAAAATGAAGATAGCTCGAGGTAAAACCAGTTTTATTGCTCCTGATCCTAATACTTCTTTTGCCAAAAAGAAGAAAGCAAAATGTTTTACATGAGTTGAGGATGAAGAAGCTCAATTAAAAAACTTACAGGGGAAAAAAATCTATTAGGAAAACTCTGTAGACATTTGTGAAATTCTCAGTATGGAGAACCAAGCTGCTGGGAGCTCTTGTCTGTGTGTCTGGCCTTACCTCTGAGGCAGGGAGGTGATCCTACAGCCTCAGGATGGGGAGAGGTTGCTGACATCAACCAGAACATCCTGGGCAGGAGACACATCCCAGGTTTCTTCCCCACCATCAGCCGCTCTCCTTCCCCCATTCCTGTGGCTGTCAGAAGAGGTTTGCTCTCAGAAGGAGCAAACAACCTGGTTTGGGGGCAAACTGGGTATATTTGGCACTGAAAATTCATGCCAGCCATGGCGAGGCCAGCACAACAGTGCCCATGGAAAAGATTCAGCTTGTGACTACTTCACTTACCAAAAACCAAAAGACCTGTGTGCTTGTGTCTATATCTATTTGCAAAAGCTCTGGGAGCTGCTTTTCCAGTTAGTTTGAAGCTGATGTTTGCGAGCCCACCGCTCCCAGTGACTGATCAGCACACCCCAATAGACTTTTCCCATCAGAGCATTTATTTTTACAGCAGGACACTGAGTCCTCAAACAAACGAAGGCTTGCACAAGAAATCGTCTGCCTCAGTTTGGCAGCAAACGGGAATATTTCTCTTTATTCTAAACCCAAATTTTTGTGGCTAAATAGAGCCAAAAATATAACTCACCCTGCTACTTCTCCCAGACACAAGTCATCTCTGAACGCCGAAAGCAACTCTTCCCCTGCCACAAATGGACCAAATAAACCCAGCACGAGACTGGTGCTTAGGAGAAGCTGATGTGCCTCTAATGCTATCATCTTCAGTGAGCTGTGTGCACGCTGATCTTTTATTAATGGATTTATATCCATGGGAAAGCTGCAGGGCACGTGAGAGCCCCGTGGCCGGGAGCAGGATCCCCAATGGCTCTGTGACCCAGGGCTCAGCCTCAGACAGGCAAATCTCCTTCCTGGCCCAGCACTGAGCCCAGAGCCTGGGCCTCCCCGGGCTGTGGGAGGACAGCTGGGTGATGTGGGTTTGTTGCTGTCACGGGTTGTTTTGTGAGGGTTTCAGCAGGTGCCGAGGCTGGGGTGTGCTCGGTGCCGGCTGCAGAGCGCAGGGGAGCTGCAGGATGAGAAGGAGTCGTGGTTAATTGGTGAATTGTGGTTAATTGTCTGTTGAGAGCTGAGGTTAGAAGACTTGGGGGAGCTGCCTGCAAGGCATAGTGAGTCCCTGAGCTGCCCTGGGCATTCAGCAGTGCCCAGGAGGGGAATTGGGAAAGACAGCTCTGGCCCCAGTTTCTCCCCATAGCCCAGTCCAGTGTCCCCTCACCCTTGACGTGAGGATTCCCTCCCAGAGCCAAGGCAGTGGTGTGTGAGTGACCCAACCTTTGCTGGGAGCTGCACATGGACACCCCAGAGCCAGCCCTCAAGCCCTGGGCTCGCTGAGCAGGACACAAAGCAACATCAGTCCCAAATCCCACACAGAATCACAGTCTGGCTGAGGTTGGAAGGGACCTTAAAGATCATCTTTTTCCAATCCTCTTCTTCAGGTTCCTCAAAGCCCCATCCCATCCATCCATCAATACTTGCAGGGGTGTGGCATCCACATCCTCTCTGGGCAGCCTGTGCCCTTGCACCCCATCCCAGCTGGATCACCCTGGCTCTGCTGCTTTTTCTGTCCCTACGAGATCCCCCTGGCATCCAGGCAGCCAGAGAGAAATGGCTGTGTGTGCCCTCACCTGGGAAATGAAATGCTATTGAAAGTAATGGAAAAATGGGGTTTTCCCTCCAATCCAGCCATTCCAGGTTTAATTTCCTTTCTCCAGAGCAAGACACTTGAGACTTCACAGCCTCACCAACAGGGGGGAAAACCAATAAATCCTGGTGAAACACAAAAAAATCACCATTAAAATACTTGAAAGTGAAATCCAGGCTTTCTGCATGTCCTTCCCCCAGTTTCCTCAGAGCTGCATCATCCCAGATAACTGCATCCCACCTGGCCTCTGCTCCGCAGCGCTGTTACGTGGTGTGAGGGTCAGAGCCAGCCTCTCTCCTGGCCTCCTCCTCTCCCTCGGAGTGCCTGGGGACACAGGAGATGGGGTGAGCTGTAGGCAGTGGTGCTGATTGAAGCCCCTTTCTAAAGGGAAGTGATAACTTGCTGCAGTAAAGGACATTTTTGCACTGAAGAGCAGAGCCCCCAGTAACAGCAAACCCTCCTTCTCCCCACGTCCCTCTGGCTCTGCAGAGCATCGTGCAGCAACAGGGATGAATCTCCCTTACAGGGGACCAAGCAGCTCAGCTCCAGTCCCACATGGAATTGCTGCAGCACAGTTTAGCCTGAAATATGCTGATTTTATCCAACAATTCTTTTCTTCTTCCTTTTTATTTCCCAGGAAATAAATAAATCATGCAAGTCTTCCATCACCCACTCTCCACGCAGCTGTCCCCGTACCACGGCCCATGCTTCCCCTGGGCTTTGGAACTGGGTCAGTGAGCAACTTCCAGCACTGGTTCTTCCCACTGAAATTCATAGAAAGCAGATATGGCCCCCGGCTGCTTTGGAGCAACTTTGCCTTTTTAGCACAAATCTCATCAGCCTGGGGTGGGCTGGAGGAGCAGGCCATGCCCAAGCACAACCCCCAGAGGGACCAGGGGATCTGCCAGCAGCACTTCCCTGCATCCCTCTGCCACGCTGGGGCTCATGGTGGGGAATTCATGGTCTTTGAACTTCCATCCCCTGCCAAACTTGGCTGAAATAAGCCAGCAGGCTCGAAAGCCATTGGGGGAAGCAGGCATGGACACACACATACACACACACAAACAGAGCACACAGCACTTACTGCTGGGGAAACCAAGCAAAAGAGGGAGCAGCTTCACCCTGTGATTGTGCCCCTGCTCTCCTGACAGTTTATTCTCTGCCCTGTTATACCCCGTGGTAAAAGGGAATTTGTTCTCAATGGTTTGGGACAGAGCTTGTCTCATCATAGGGAACATGGCTGAAACAAGTCCAGGGACCTCCTTAAGCTCCCAAAGCAGCCCTGCAGAGACCAGAAAGGTGGGTAAAACCTATCCCTACCTCCAGATACTGTTGGCTTCTCCACTTGTGCTCCTTTGCAGCGCTAGAATTTGGGGTCACTTTCAGTAACTCGTTCCAAAATCAGAAGGAAAAGCCAGAGACGCTCTCTGAGTCACTGGCATGTTGTTACCAAGGACACTAAGGTTCCTGATTTTGAAGAAGAGATTAATTACATTCTACAAATAGACATTTTAGCTGCACTGAAGAGCAGCAAGAGCAAGTTCTTTTAGCGTGGCTCATTATGTATCAGCAGGTAGTATTGTGACAGATGTAGGAATGCAGTCGTATTGTCACTGGGGTTTAATCATCAGAGAGCTGTCTTCCCCAGGTCAGCTCCCTGTGAGGATTTGTAATATTTACATAGCACTTGGGGCTGGCTTCTTTATTGCTGGAGTCTGTATTCACTCGTCAGTCTCTCATTATGCATGTGCCAGTATTAATTGCATTTAGAAATGAGATTCTAAAGCAGAAGTGAGAGCTATTTAGACCTCCATTCAGCTTGAAAGACAGCAGCCTTCTGTGTGACAGCTCTCGAGATGTTCTTGTGCTCAGCTCTCTCCCCAGCTGAAAAGCAGGTGTTGGAGAGAGTTGGTGTCAGAGCCACTGTATCAGCACTGCCTTTTGTGCATGCCCAGACATTTATATAACCGACAGGATAATGACTCCGCAGAAGTGGCACAGAATTGACCCTTCTGGTACTGGATTGAAAACAGCCAGGGAGAGAGCGGATCTGCTCAGCTGCTGTGCAGGCATGGAGGGAAAGCAATGCTGAGCCCTATCTCCTGTGGAAAGAAGAGGGGTGTTCCCTTGCTGGTGGGTTTGGGGGGTATTTATCGGCTCTCCTGTGCCTGCAGCACTTTGGGGCTGTGTTTGTGGCCTTGCTAATGTATTTAAAGTGTACAGAAATTTGGCTGACACTTGTCTGTGCCTGCCTGCTGCGCTCTGATTGCTCCAGCCTGGAGAAGCAGAGCCGTGTGCCACCACTGCCAGCTGCCAGCCGTGCCTGGCCAGTGGAAATGAGGAGGTCATGTCCTGCTTCCCAGAGGGAAATGAGCTGCAAGGCTGATCTAGAGGATGCCAGGCTACCGGCTCTGCTTTCCCCAGCCTGAAGTGCAGAGGGTCTGTTCCTGTCTTGCAGCAGTGTGGGGGATACAATGAGGGTGTTCTGGGAGGAGATCAGCACAGGGGCCAAACACTCCCTCTCTCCATGGCCCTGGCTCCCAGTCCCAGGAAAGCAATCCTCTGGGGCCCAGGGGGTCCATGTCCAGCCTTTTGGGAGGGGTCCCAAAACACAGCAGTAAGGCAAACCCACATTTCACTTCCCAAAGCACCTCCTTTGCTTTGCCATAGTCCAGCACTGCCCCACCAAGCCTGAGACCTCTCCAAGAGCTCTCCATGGAGGACATCTCACAGACCTGGCTCTTTCCAGCTGGCTCCTCTGTGTGACCTGTGCCCCTTTGGGTGCCCCTGTAGTCCCTTGGGTGCTCAGTCCCCTGCATCACCCCGTGCCAGACCAGCACCAAGACCAAACCCTGTGTTCCACACCAGCAGCATCTCTACCTCCCCAAACCCAGGAGCAGGCCATGAGCAGCTCCTGCCAGGAAGAGACTGGAGGGGAAGAACATGAGAAAGGCAAACAGAGCAGACATCCATAGCCAGCTCTGGCCCCCAGCCAGGATCTTCTCCTTAAATATCACACAAAACAAAGAATAAATCACTGCTTGTGAGGAAATCCAAGCACAAGGAGTCCCTCTTGACCTTCCTGTCTCTTGACAGCAGGTTAGTCCAGGATAGTGTTCCAGTTTGCTTTCCAACTGCAGCGAGGGGTGGGGATAGCAGACCCCAGGGCTGGGATGATGGGAGGAATCCCTTCAAACCTCTCCTTTTGGGATGGTGGCAGCCAGCTCCTGTGGCCAACACTAATCCCATGGCTGAGCCCCCCAGTCTGTGAGGGTGGGCCAAGGACAACCTGTGCCATTCCTGGCTGCCCCAAGGTATATAAATAGAAGGGAGGGACGTGAAGGAGGTCAAGTGAGCAGGGGATTTCGCATAATCTGATCTTGCCTGTGCTGTTCATTTGTGTCCTTTGCTCAGGGTGCACACCCTGCTTCTCACACGGGCACGTCAGAGGCAGAGGGTTGATCCTGCACCGAGCCAGGTTTATCCTGTGCAACATGTGGGCTCCTGACTTCCTCTTCACATGGGCTGTTTCTCAGGGATGTCTTTAATCCAGCAGTCATCCAGAGCAGTGCACACACGGAAAATCCTGGTCTTTGTTGCTCTATGGGCTCCTGGTGCCTGAGCAGCCTAATCTTGGTTGTCTAGCTGGCCAAAATCCAGTTGGATCAACACAGAACTGGGGCTCTGGTGCCTCAGGTCTGTTCCTGGTCTTGAGGATGCTGCCTGCCCTTCGTGAGGTCCACTGTGCCTTGGTCTCCTGCACCATTTCTCCCCAGGCCCTGCCCAGCAGCACATTTTTCTCTTGCTTCTGCTGCTTTCCTTTTCCAGGACATGAAAGTCTGGAAACAGAATCTCTCTTGGTGTAAAGCTGTCAGTGGAACAGCTCTGATTTATGCCAACACCAAGCAAGGCGAGTAGATGAATGTCCAAAATAGATCAAGTAGAAAAGCTGTTAATAGCCACTGGTCTTTAATGGTGAGAGCAATTAATCACCAAAAGAACTAATCTAGGAGTGTACAGCTTTTCTATGGGCTGCATCCAGACCAGGTGCCTGTCTGAAGACTGCAGTGGGGCTTGCAGGAAATTTTTCCTGGCCATCCAGCTCTGAGTCTCCCTCATGCTCCCAGATCCAGGCTGTGATGGGAGTCCTTGTGCTCATTCCAGCTTTTTGCTGCTGGTGCTGGTACCAGGCACATTCCCTCCCTGTGCTCTGTTGCTGCTGCTGATGCTGCTGCTGCTGCTGTTGCTGCTGATGGTGATGATGATGATGGTGGTGGTGGTGGTGGTGATGAAGCCAGCTGGGTGAAAGGACTGACCAGGCTACAGGCCTGCAGTTTAAATGCGGTGGAAGGAATGCTGATCCTGCCTTGAGTGGAAGCAGCCAGGGCAGGACCATGCCTGTCCCAGCCCCAGCCTTTTCAGCTCCAGCTCCTTCCTATCTCCTCGTGCACAGATTTGTGTTTTATTCCCTGCTTGCTCCTAAGAGGCTGACCCTGCACAGAGCTCCCCAGGGCAGGGCTCGTGCTGCAGCTGGATCTGCCTGTCCAGGGTTGGGGCACAGCTCTGTGCCATCATTCCAGGTGGCTTGTCCTCCAGCCACGTACCTGCCCATCCCTCCTGCAGCTTCCCAAGGGATGGTCCTGCAGTCTGCCAGCCTCGCCAGTCATCCCTGTGCCCTCTGCCCAGAGACAGCCCCCACCTCTGCAGCTCATTTGCTCAGACGCTTAATGAGTGTTTCATCCAGCCAGCACTGCAGGTAGCACAGGGAAACCCAGGGGCACAGATGCCAGGAGATGCCTTCCCCTGCTTTGAGGCTTGTTTCTCCCTCCCCCGACTTAACCGGCTCATTAAGTGCCAATTCCACCTCCCCACTTTCAGATGTCTCCAGTCTCCACCGGTAAATAGATTTGTGCGTCTCCAGCAGAAACCTCCCGTTGGAGCAGGCACAGGGAGCCAGGGCGATGCTCGGGCTGGCCACGAGCACGGCCCCGGTGCCTCCGAGCTGCAGCCGAGTGCTGAACGGGAGCAGGATGCCCTCCCAAAAGACGCGGGGAGCTGCAGGTAGCGAAGCCGCAGCCGCCGGCACCGTGCCCGTGGCGCAGCGGGGACGCACCGAGCAGGAGGTGACCCTGCCCTCCTGTCGCAGCTTTGTCATCGCCTCGGCGTGGGACTGCAGCAAGTCCCTTCCCATCTGCTCGCTGCCTTCGCCTGGGAGCCGGGATCAGCTCCTGTGAGCGTGTGTGAGCGCGGAGCGCAGCGCAACAGGGCGCGGGGTGCTGCCTGCTGCCTTTCCTCAGAGCCCACGTTCGCCTGGTGCTCTCAAGCATTCCACACATCCAGGCACTCGCCCAACCTCCCAGAGCAGCAAGGGTGGAGTGGGACCTCCCCGGGACTGTTCAGCACCAGTTGAGTGTCAGTGTCAGGCTGGTGATGTCCCCACAGCTGAAGTCGCTGCTCAATCTCCTCCCAAGCCAAGGCATGAGGAGAGTCAGGCAGCCAGGCTGCAGGACTGCTCCATTTGGGAAACACCTTGAGCAGTGCATGTAAAACCACCCAGTGGTTTGTCCCTGGCCCTTCACACCAGACAAACAGGAGGAGCAGGTCTGCATTTCCTCCTTACTGGCACTGGTGCATCACAGAAGGCTCCTCTCTACCCAGCTCAAGTGAACGTCTCCTGATGCCATCCAGAGAACCAAAACCAGAAGGAACCCAAATATCTCCATGAATCTCCACGGGCTGAGGAGTGAGATCCTCCACCCCAGACCCCCCTTTACCCTTCCATCCCAGCCCCAGAGCCCTGAGGGGACGGGAGGGGGACAGCAGAGGACGTACGGTTCGACTTTGTTGCAGAAGCGGCGCCGCAGCATGAGGACCAGTGGACCCAGGATCAGGATGGTGGTGCACATGGCGCTTCCTCCATCACCACCAGCACCCACAGCCCTTCACGTCCCTCTGCAGGCACTGCTCAGCCCAGGGCTGTCACTGCGCCGGGCTGGCCTGCCACCCCAGCTCATGGGCACCTCTGCCCAGCAGCCACCTGGAAGCTCTCAGGGAGGGTTTTAGGAGGAATTAAGGCAGGATCAGATGTATTTAAGAGGCAGCAAATG